TCCCACTCTCGCTCGCTTTCGGGTGCTACTAGCGTGCGCAGCTCTATCGGCTCTATCGAACGTCGAGTCTCAGACGGAGGCTTCAACATGACAGGCATTCTTGCGCTGCAGCGAGCAGTCAAAAGGATGGTCAGGGTTGGGTGAGTGTCCTTAAATGAAAGTTGAGGACGGATTGAATATGTCGCATGACTGACACTTGTGTTCTGCCGCTCGTAGGATTCTGCACGTCAGTTTGATGTGACCTAGCATCGGTATGAGCGAGCATTCAGCCAGAAACTTACAGCAAAATCCTTGTTTCGCTTCAAGAGCACGGGGTAAATCGAAGCGTTAGCTCGGTTCCAACTTGAAACAGCTATCCCCTCCCTCTCAAAAAAACAAGGTTCATGTACTGCATGTGGTTGACATTTCTGCAGGTCTTTCTCAAGCAATATTGTGAGATGGTAACAATTTGCCAGATGCCTTACGATCCGATACTGTGTAAAGGGCAATTACACCCTACCCTAAACCCCAGGCCCTGTAAGCCCTGGACCCTAAATTGCCAGATACCCTTGCTATTTATAGAAGCCGATACTGTGTGAATGTCAATTTCTTCGATGGTGTTGCCTCCACACATGGCTCGATGCCATGTCATGGCTTCCTCCTGGGGCATCATTGGCTTGCTGCTATGGAGGAGGTGCCTTGGGACTGAGCTTGCCATGCTGACTGACGTGTGTGTAAATTTCAGGATCAGAACTGGTACTTCATGCACTGTTTGTTCTGTAGCAATGCTGCAAGTTTGCAATATTTCGCAACACCTTCTGCTTTGGATTGGTTGTCCAACGTACTTGCTTTCTTACTGTTGCACAGTTTATATTGGGCCTCAAGGAACTTTAGGTTGTCTCTCCCTCTCTCTACCAGACACTTCAGGACAGCTATTGTTGCAGTGTGCAGGCAGTAGATGCAAGTTTTCCCCCGAGATGTTATTCTAAGGGTATTTGTTGTTTCTTAGAGCTCAGCTCACCACAGACTCCCATAGATTCGCGGATTTCTTTTTGTGATGGCACCTCCAGAACAATAGCCATCATACTTCTCACAACATTGGCAACAAGAAAGACTGGGCTTAAATGACGATGATCCTTGTGAGGCTGCCCCTCTCCTTCCAGTGCTGCGTTGCAGGACGGCAGGCAGCACACAGTGACATGAGACTTTTGGGAAGGAGCTCCCAGTCCCAGCAGATCGAACGTAGGGTCGCCTTTTTGACATCCCCACGGCGAACATCGTGATGTTTGCAAGACATGCGGGGTTCTCATACGAGAGAGAGAAGCCGTGCCTGAGCTCCCTGAGCTCCCTGAGTTGCCACCTGCCCTGTCGAAGTCAGAATCGCAGCTTGGGTGCGCGGCGTTCGTGTTGCGCTTGTGCTTGTAGAAGCCAGCCTTTGAATGTGACATCCCAGCGCCGCTCAGGCGGCCGAGCTGTGAAGACCCACGCTCGGGCTTCGGAACCTTCATTCCTTCACTCCCACAGAAGCGTACTTGCATTGAAGACCCAGACCAAAAAATGCTCGTTCCAGAAGCGTGACAGAGGGCGTAAGTACCGTAAGTCACTAGCGTCTAAAGAAACTTTGAGATTGGAAAGCGTGCTGTCTTGGAAGCCCTCTCGTGTCTTACATCGCAGCGTGAGTTCGTGGTGTGCCCTGCACCGATGCAGAGGCATCCCCGTCGCCTTTCATCTCGAAAGGCTTTTCCATGGCTTTTCCTGCATCCAGGTGCTGGGTGCGTGGGTTTGATACAAAGAGAGATCTTCGTCCCTTCGAGGCTCTGAGAAGCCCCTTCATAGGCTCTGAGGCTCCGAGGCCTATGCTGGAGTTCTAGTGGGGACGCCGGAGTATCATTCCGGACTATTGTCCGGCTCGATGCGCTGGGTTCCTCTGCCTGGGTCCATCAAGCCTCCCCTTTTCCGACCCACAGGAGTCGCAGTCGGTCACAGATTCGTTTTAAGTGATGAGGCGACAGCTGGGCTAGTCAGGGATCGCGGGCCTGATTGTTCAAATGAGCAGTAGCTGGTAGACATTTTGGCGCGATGTTGTCATAGCGTGAAACGCATCCACAGTGATTGCAGTCCATCTCATCTCTGCATGTGCCCGGCATTGGCTCTGATTCAGAATCTTCCAAGAGGACTAAGTGAGAGAGGCTTCCTCGTGAAGAGCAGCTGCGGAAGGACCAGATCTTGTGGCAAGTGACGGCCAGGACTTGCACGTACTTGCACCGTTATTTGGAACCTCCACAGGGTGGCAGTCCAGGTCCTGGCAAGGTTTTCAAAGCCTTCAAAGTCTCTCCAAGCCTGTGACGTGGCAAATGCAGCAATCCTGGCCAAGCCTGGCGAAGTCTCTGGCGAAGCCTCTGGCGAAGTCTCTTGCGAAGTCTCTGGCGAAGTCTCTTGCGAAGCCTCCAGCAGACCCGAAAGAGCAGCCCATTGGATGTCTCTGGAGACACTCGGCTTGTTGGTGCTGTCCTTTTTTTGCTGTATGTGCCTGAGCCTACACACGGCTTGGACAGTTCAAGGACACCAGAAGATCTTGGCAGGTGCTTGGGCGATTAACGACGGTTCAGGTGACCCAGATGTAAGACGTGTCCACGGTCACGAGGGGTCGCAAGGGGTCGTAAGGCTTCGCAAAGGGTTGCAAAGGGTCGCAAGGTCGCAGCTTGACATAAACCCCACCCGTGGACAGCTGCCCAAGAAGGCTGTGGACGTCAAGCTTGCGCAGGTGTGTAGCAGGGGGCGTATTCAGCATCATGATCATGCTGCATTTCATGCGATTCTTGCGATTTGTATCACGTACCTCAACACTCCAGGAGCTCTCCATAGAAGATTGTTTTTGCCTGGATGGCTCCTCCCAGGCTTAGTCGGGGCTTATGCATTGATGCAAGAAGTTCTTCCCAACGCTACTCGCAAAGCATTCTTCCAGGTTTTGCCACACCAGGGGCCTGGAAAGTGCTGCCCTTGCACATTCCACACAGCCGCCTGCGACTCCTGAATGCCGCTGCTTTCTCATGCGGAGCTGATGTTGAGTGCGGCGACTCCTGCTGATCTGTACCCGACTGGTTTACAGGGAAGTGGGCCCAAACTGGCCCCAAGCCGATGACCTCGACAGACTCAGACCCTGCCCGGGCTTCAAGGTGTCATCACCGTGGGGGCAGATCACGCGAGGATGCCTCGCATTGCCTTTCTCGGGTTGCCTCGCATTGCCTTTCTCGGGTTTCTTAGGCGGCATGCCTCGGTCTTTGCATGAAAATGGTGCGAGGGTCGGTTGGCTGCAATGATTCAGTGCCTTGACTTCCTTACCCCCGAGACTTCGTCCTGTCCTCTTGCGCGTGGTTTTGTGGACCATCCTAAGACTGTCTAAGACTCTGAGACACCCCTAAGACACCCCTAAGACCTAAGATGCTAGACTTTGCGCTGAAGAGCTCCCTTAGCCTGCCACCGCAAAAGCAGACTTTCGCACCGCGATCTGGAGCTCAGCAAGCTGAAGGCGTCGCAGGTCTACTGCGCCTTCTCGTCTCATGATCCTGCGGGAATCTGTGCGCCGTGTCATCCGCCGTCATCCGCTCTCTTCAGGTGCCCTCAGCTCTCCCAAATGGCCCGCGTCCTGCTCTCTTTTTCTTCGAGCCGTAGGTGCTTCGAGGATCGTCGGAAAGCAGCCCGGGGTGTAAGGGGTCTAAGGCTCTCCCACACAAGCTGCCTTCAGGTGGTTTCGCATGTTTCGCATGGCCCATATCTCGAGCTAAAAGGGATGATGGGGGGGGCACTAGAGTGAGGCTTCTGAGTTTTTTTCACTTGAGATGAGTCGCGCGAGCCCAGTGCCCACCCTGGAGCTGCCCCCAACTCGGATTTGGCTGCGTGCCCAAAGCGGCTGCGCGCCCAAAGCAATTTGCAGTCCATGGCTTACAGACGCCCACTTCCCTCCTCTGTGAGGCGAATGTTCCTGTGTTGTCCTAAGCCCCAAACTCCCCAAGCCATAAATCTTCAACCCTGGGCAACATGGCTCCTAGCCACCCTATGGCTACGGAAGCTATCTTGGGGGGGGGAGATTCTTCGCATGTGTCGCGAGTCTCAGTGTTGAGGCCGTGCCTTCATGGGCCCTTTTTCAGACCCTAGGTCCGCAGCGCGTCACTCAGAGGATCTGGAGATTGGGGTCCTCGGAGACACGCCGAAGCTGGGCCTCTTTAAGCAGTGGCAGCGTCTCACTAACTGTACAAGCTGTAAAAGCGGTACAAGCAGTACAAGCTGTGCAAGCTGTGCAAGAAGCATCTTTTCATGCCCTCCCTGTCCTTTGTACTTGTAAGCTCGGTTGTCCTGGAGTGATCCTTGGCTGCGAATGTGCGGTCCAGCATGAAAGAATTGGCGCAGTGGATGCATCTGGAAGACTGCAAACTCACACCTGGTACTCTCCAAAAACATTCTGGAGACTCGCTCTGATCCCGGTCCGCGACTTCCGTGCAAAGGGGGTACCAGTTTTTGGATACCTGGGGGTTGATCTCAACTAAGGAGCATCCTTTCATAGAGACAAAAAACCGGGGCTCATGTTCAAACTCGACATTGAAATCTGGGGGCCAAGTCCCCCCCAGTCTTGGAGCCACCGACATCAGCTTAACAAGGTGCTCTCTTCTTGGGCGCCCTTACGGTTGCGCCACATCTGGAAGCCAGAGGCCCAAATCTTCATATAAAACCCAAGTGTCGTCGGAAGTCTGTGGGCGTACCACACTCTGCAAGGCTAGTCGGCTAGTCTGCCCGCTCTTTTCGCTCCCAGGAGCAGACACAAGAGTCTGGAAAGCCAAGACAGCTGCCAGATCAGAAGCGAGCTTTGCGAGCTTTGCGAAGTTTCGGGCTTTGTCTTGGAGCCCTTCAGCTGAAGGCCTGCTAGGCTTCGATCAAGATGGAGCTTGCTATGACTATGAGCCTTGGAGTTTTTGCAAATATGGCAGAATCATGGGAATCTGATCTTTTGCCAAGGGATACTTGGCTCAAGGATCCTTTTTCAAGGAGTTCTTGCTCGCAAGAGCTTCCAAAAGGCCAGCCATGTCCGATGCTTCTTCGAGAGAAGCCCCTCTGAATCCCACGTGATGCCAGCTGCCTTCTGCGTCCATCAGATCCATGCTCGGGCCCTGGTGGTGCTTTCCAAACGGCCATGACACCAGGGCACTGTTGGACACTGCTGGTAAATATCGTTTGGCATGGCGCATGGAGACCTCAGCCATCAATGATTGCAGGCTGCCAGGCTCTTCGCTCCCGCGGATGAAGCCCGTATCATTTTGCACAAAGGTCATCGGCGGCAAACGCCCGACATGCTCTTCTTGATCATGAAGGGGCACAGAGCCACACAGCAATCCCCTGTGCGTTCTTCCTTCTGGGCTTCCGCCGAATAAGTCTCAAAGCATCTCGGGGCCTGTCAATGCCTCCATTCCATGTTGGTCCCTCTTCGATGCTTTTCCAACCCTTTCAATCCTTTCAATCCTCTCTGTCCGTGCACAGAAGTGTGCATGAGCTCCTGGTAAACTTGCTTGAGAGCATATCTTGCAGAGTCAATGCTCTTTGCCTGGGTTTCCGTGGCCTCAATAGGAGTTGGCTTGTGACATTCAAGAGGCGCTCAGCTCCATGCTCTTAAGCACTGCAGCTATTGGCCTACCGAGGGTGCCCAAAGGCCAATCGCCCGGAAACGCAACACGGTACACCTGATACATCCGCACAGAGGGAGGCGGACATTGCGCCGGTGCAGCTACACCAACGATGCAAGCAGGTTACGCCGCTCAGACATGTGTGAAGAGGGCATCTGTTTCGGAGTGCTGAAGTTCTCAACCACGGCATTGTGTGACCCGATGAGGAGACCACAATTGGTCATCCCGTATTGGTCTTGGTGTCTGCGATGAGAGGCTCAATGTAGCTTGCCTGCCGAGGCACGCGGTATTGGTGCAGGACGGAAGGAGCCCTGGTGAACAGTTTGGATCGGCCCAAGATTCGTTTACCTTCGATTGGATACCTGTCATGCTGCCTGCTCCACACATTATGGGAGCTTGGAACACACCGCGTTTGCAGGAGCTGCCTCAGCATTCTCTTCTAGGGTACAAGCTATCTGCCGTGTCAGTATCTCGGATCTCCTTTTGGGCCCTTCCACATTGTTGATCAAGTGCCTCCTGGGTGGTCATAGCAGCACGCGGACGTGAGAAAATGCCATCGGCATTTTTCCAAGGCCTGCGCCCCGAAAATTTGGGTCAGGTTGCAACCACTGAGGTAGTGGATATTGGGCAGCCGAGATGCTGCGGTTTTCAGTCGTTCAGGACGAGACCCAGCACGTGGACATATGGTTCAGTGGGAGCGACGTGACAAGAAGACTGTCATCCAGTCCAATGAAAGGCCTCCGATGGTTGCAGCATCTGGGCCCTCAGTTCAGTTGGGGTACCGGCACCATGTGATTTGACTCAGCACGTCGTTCAGCAGTTCTCTTGGCATGGGCCTTTTTGTGTCACATCACGCGGCCAGACATTGCAGCATCGGTAGTGTTGTAAAGATGTGATGCTCAGCTGTTAAGCCCGGTCACGAGTCGCCATGTTTCAGCAGTTGATGTCGAAAGCCGCAAATGCAAGGGCCAAGGTTTCCTAGGAGCCTGTTTGCCCGACCTCCAACAGCGTTCATGACCTTTCCGCCCTCTCCATGAAGGTCGGGATGGGGCATCTGCATCTAGGACGTTCCCTACCAAGCACGGTGGGATCTGATGGCAAGCCGTTCGACGCATCGAAACGAGTATTCTGCCTTGTGCGTGACTTCAGCAACACTCATGATCTGGCGCTGTCTCCCACTCCACCCGCAACCCTGTGCATGTGCGGCCTCATCATGTCTCGGGACACCTTGCTTCGTGCTCAGCGCCTGTGTGCGACTTTTCAGAGCATGCGCGCTCTTACTTGAGCTTCCCTTCAACAGGTCGGCCCTTGGGATCCGAGTCCAGGCCCGCTGAAACCCAAAAGCCCAAGAGGCCCGGAAGGCAGTCGCTCTGTTGAGTGGGAGGCGAAGTTCATGGGGTCACTCTGCGCGGCACCTGTTTTAAATCGGTGGGCCACCTGATGGCGTTAGGGCGGGGGACTCTCTCAAGAATAGGTGGCGTCGTGTGCTCCCTGCAGACGGCGCAACGGAATCCGGGTTCGCTTTGGGCAACGCCAGTAGTCTCAACTACAGTGGGCTTGTCACCCCGAACGGATCCGAGTCCAGGCCCGCTGAAACCCAACAGCCCAAGAGGGCCGAAACGCAGCCGCTCTGGGCTTAAGTGGGAGGCGAAGTTCGTGTGTTAACGGACTGCTCAAGCCCAGTAAGGACCGCTGCCATCGGCGGCACAGGCGCATGCTTAGCCAAGAGCAACTGCCAGCCATTCTGCAGTTCACACAAAGACACAACCATGACATTCGGTACTTGTAGGGAGGATTGAGCGAAGTTCCACGCATCAACGTCGTTGCTGCGAGCGTCTGCGCAATGTCTCCGCACTCAAGCTCGCTCTCGGATGTTGAAGGCTGTCCAGACTGAAGGCACGAGCCTCAACATCCCGAGGCGTGCACAGCACTATCGACTAAAACACCTGTCAGTCTCGGGAAGGCTGTTTTGAAACGACAGGCCTTCTTGCTCTGCAGCGTGCAGCGGAGCAATCAAAAGGATTATCAGGGTTGGGTGTCCTTCAGACCATAATCACCCATGCAGCATGTCATTGCTGTGTTCGTCTTTTATCCTTTTTGGGATGACAAGGACAATGATAAAGTCTGATAAGGACTCGGAGTAGTCATGATTGATTAGCAGGTACTCACCGCAGCTATGTCGCAGTCGCAGTGCTCGTGGAAATTTCCAGCACTTGTCTAAATCGGCAAGGACTAAATGCGCTCACAATTGGCTACCCCGGCTCTGACCGTGGTTTTGGCTCAAGTTTGGACGCATGACCCCAAACCGTAAATCCGAAACCCCTCAGCCTCTGCAAGCTGAACTTGAAAGCGGTTCTTCAACACGCAAGCCCAAGTCCTACAAACCGAAGCGATACAAAAGAGCTGGTGGCCAGCATGGCGACAACACAATAGTTTCCCGAGCTTTCAGAATGAATCTTGCCTGCTGGGCTGGTGTTGCTAGTTCGTGTTTGCCGCTCCGCTCCTTTCTCTTTGCTTCTCGCCACATGTCAAATCCTCCAAGAAGCTTCGGAGTGATGTCCAAATTTTGGGATCGACGTGTGCAGACGGCCTTGGCTTGTAAAATCACTCCTTCTGCAGAGTGTAGCTAGACCTTATGGTATCTGGGCAACTTGATCTTCTGCAGAGTGTAGCTAGACCTTATGGTATCTGGGCAACTTGATTGAGAAGATCGGTTAGCCCAAAGAAGTATGGCTCAGCGATGGCAAATCCGCAGCCGTTTTCATCCCAAGGAACCTCAGGGGGGCGAGCCATGTCTGCCGCCAAGCTTGAAAAGAAGATCTGGAACCTGGAGCAGCGGCTGCGTGAAGAGTTCCGCGTCGAGCTGAGCCGGGCGCTGGCCTTGTGCGCCGCCAAAGTGCAGCACCTCGAAACCGAGGTTCACGGGTTCCCCTACGACCCCCCCTCTATACTGCCCCCCCATAGGGTTCCCCCCTTAAAGAGCCTGAACTTGGCTTAATTGTCCCAAAATAGCCTTCTAATTCTGAGGCGGACCCAGTTGGGGTAGTATCATTATGAGAGGTGCTCTTGCTCAAAGGGGAGAAGCCATCGAGCAGCCCTGCGCGCGATGGGGTCGCCGTTGATGTGTCCAAGGATGGCATTGCGAGGCTTCCAGGAAACGCTCTGGGGGAGGCTGACGTCGTGCCGGTTGCCCGGATGGCGTGGCCAGAAAGCACGGAGGCTCAGCAGGAAGGCTTCGTCGCTAAGGACGAGTGCGTTGACTGGGTCCCATTGGAGCCTGTGGCGTTTTTGGAGTCTACCTGGAACCTGGTTTTGGTATTGGGGTTTACCGATGCCGGGTGGTTGGACATCATCATCAGCTGCCTGCTCTTGGTTGCCAGCGCTGGCTTGCAGATCGCCTTCAGCCTGATCTTGCTGTCGCCCGACTTTCTGGGAGAGCCCTTTTCGACACACATCACAAGTGCAGAGAGATGGAGGGCCGGCGTTGCTCATGATTACAGGCACATGGACTTGGCGGAGACAAGCCTCGTGTCGCGGGTCTGCAACAAAGATGAGTCCCTCATCGTGTCGACTCGCCAGGGCCTCAGCTGGCACAGCCAGCTGTCTACACATATTTTACAGCGGTGTACATATTTGTAAAACTATACGTATGTGTACATATATATATATATACATACATACATATGCATATATGAAACAGGCTGTTTTTGGTGAGTGTATGTAAGGTTCCCTTTTAATATTGGTGAGTGTATATATTGGATGTCCTTTATGGTGGAAAGCTGTTCTTTCTAGGTGGAAATGTCTCATTGATCATTGGCAAAAGGGCAAGCACTTTGTTCTCCCTTTTGATGTCACTGCCCGGGACGGTTTCTGTATAGCGTGCCACTTGAGATGTCCAAACTTTTCAAAGTTTCTCATCAACTTTCATCGGAGACAATGTGTTCCGCATGCTCTCGTTTCACGTGTTAATGAAGTGCGCTCGGTCCTCTTGATGCTCGTGAAGGACTTGGAGTTTAGTTTTTCGCTTCTTGCTCGGACAGCTCTTCGGAGACTCCAGGGATACCAGAAATACATACCGCACTTCATATACATATATATATATGGTAGTAGTACAGTTCTAGTTTAGATAGGCGCATACACACAGATGCATGTACATCTATATGTACATATACAGTAGGTCATGTTCGTAGTACTGCGAAAGGCTCTCTCCCTGGTTGCATGGACCGCTTCGCAGGTCAAGCAACCCTCCTGGACCAGATTGATGCTTTCCTTGGCATCATTCAGCCTCTCGACATGAGCCTGGGAATTCTGCTTTGCATGCTCTGCATCCTCCTATGGTGCCTGTATTTGTGCAACGAATTTCAGGCTATTGGACTGTCTTTGGAGGCTATCCTGCAGGTGCCGCGGCGTGCTTACACAAGCTTTGACCACGGACGCTTCGAAACGATGTCATACTGGCGATTTGCATCGTACTGCCTGGCACGCCTGACGAGGGGAGTGATTGCCGGGTTTCTGCTCTACGCAGGAATTCTCTGGCTCGGGAATACGACGTCCATCACCGACCTCATGCTGAATGCGGTCGCTTTGGGCGCGGTGCTGGACGTAGATGAGATGTTCTTCGCTGCCCTCATGCCCAAGAAGATCCAGATCAAGATTCAAGACCTGGAGGCACTAGACACACGCACACACACACAGAGGTCCGCACGCACACACACACACACACACTTACACGCATGGGGGAAACTGACCCTTCACCTCAAAACCTAACTAAACCTCAGGACCCCAAAACCCTAAACCCTAAAACCCCACAGCGCCAAAAAAAACAAAAACCAAAAAGCGCAGCAAAAAACCACCCCCAAAACCCTTGACTCAGCTCGCCTCCTCTTGGCCATGAGGCCTTTGTGGTGCTTTACTGTAACTTTAGATCTTGAAGCTTTTTTGGGTTTATTGGGTTTCTTAATGAGGCAGCTAAAAGTTTAATTGATTTTTTGCTACCCTCCTAAGTGCAGCCAAGAGGCCATCAAGATCAACTACACCCGCAGGCGGAGCCAGTTGGAGGCTTTCTTGCTACTTCTGATCATGCCCTCTGGGCCTGCAGCAAGGAATTCGGGGTCTCTAGGTTTTGTGTTTAGGGTTTAGGGTTTAGGGTTTAGGGTTAAGGGGGCGGGGGGTGTATTGGAGAGAGGGGTGAAGAGAATACGGTCCCAAGGCCCGGGATAAGTGAGCACAGGGAGGCTTCGGGGTTTCGAGGGCTTTTGGGGTCTTGAGGTTCTTCATATAGAGAGAATTTCTGAATAAGTGCGAATCTTTTTGTACCAGTTCATCTGATAGTGATCTGGGGTTTAGGGCCTTCAGGCTTTAGGGATTTCCAAAACAAACCCTAAGCCCCAAACCCCAAACCTTAAACCCTAAACCCCAAGCCCTAAACCCTAAACCCTAACCCCACCTTAGACAAGGTCTGGATTGATGTTGTGGCCTTGGTTCTACTTGGTGGAGCCGCTTGGCAACCACATGCTGGAGGTGAAGAGGACGCATTGGCTGCCAGATCAGCAAAGAGGGTTTAGGGTTTAGGGTGTGGGGTTTAGGGTTTAGGGTATAGGGTTTAGGGGTTTAGGGTTTAGGGTTTACAGTGGTCACATGGGGACTTGGGGTTCCGAGTTCAGGGCTCTGGGTGTGGGGTTGTGTCAGCGTTTTTGGAGGACGCTGTGCGGTGGGCAGCAGGATTTCGTGGTAGGCATCAACAGCAACCAGTTTCTGACGGTCGGCCGGGAGACGGTGCAGTATACATCCAACCGCAACGCCAGCCTCATCGAGCTCGCTGTCCGCGACCTTGCCTTCGGAGATTCGGGGTCTTCGAGATACATCCTCATGCCCGAGGAAACTTCTGCTTTCGACAGCAAGCTTACCGAGCCCATGTCTGCAGCAGCGGCAAGCATCTTGGCTTGTGACGACTTCGACCTCTACTACTTGGAGGGCCAGGCACCTCCTGCCAACTATGCCCCTTACTGGTGGAATACGGCGCCTGGCCTGGGGTTCTCGGAGCAGTCCACCTGTGCGGAGATGAAGCTGAGATATCAGGTTCAGATATCGTTTATATGTTTTTTCTTTTTTTGGCACGCATATTGATATGAATATGGACATTAATATAAATAGTAAAATTGAGGTGAATATGAATATTAATATTCTCATGAATATGAATATGAAGATGAATATGCAAATTAGTATGAATATTCATACCAATATCAATGTTAGTATTAATATGAATGTGATGATTATTGCTAGCATTGTTCTCATTATTAGTTTTTGTATTTTTTCGAGTGAGTGTAGATCACGAGTTGGCACGCGAGGATAGCGCGCCTCTTTGTCTGGGCTTACAAAAGGGGTTTAGGGTTTATAGGGTTTAGGGTTTAGGGTTTAGGGTTTAGGGTTTAGGGTTTAGGGTGCGGGCCCCAAAGCCGAGGAAGGGTCTTTGCGACGATGAGGAAGGCCAGCTCCCGGGGTATGTTCCCCCCTTATACGAAATGGGTTTAGGGTTTAGGGTTTAGGGTTTAGGGTTTAGGGCTTCGGGTACTAGAGACCCGATTTAAGGGCTGTTAGTACAAGGGGGGGAACATCCCAGAGGCCAGCTCCTGCGCCTGACCTGCAGCAGCACCTGTGGGTGTAGCTTGGCCTTCTTCTGGCTGGCTCTTGGGACTTTAACTTTTTTTGGTTCTTGTGGAACCTACAATAAGCTTTGTGGTGCTTTACTGTAACTTTAGATCTTTAGCTTTTTTTGGGCTTATTGGGTTTCTTAATAAGGCAGCTAAAAGCTTAATATTTTTTTTCCACCCTCCTAAGTGCAGCCAAGGTTGGGGGTTCTTGTAGGAACCTACCATCAGGAGCCCTAAAAAGTGAGAAAAAACTTGTAGGAGGAGGGGTTCTCAGAAAGCCAAGGCAGTGAGGCGGATGCAAACCCCTGGTGCCGCGTGGAGGCGAAGGGATGCCACCGGAGATGCCCATCGGCGCAAAGCCTTCAGAAGTCCCTGTTTAGGGTTTAGGGTTTAGGGTTTAGGGTTTAGGGTTTAGGGTTTAGGGTTTAGGGTGCCTGGTGTTTTCTGCTGTTCTTCTGCATCGTCCATGGAAACCCCAAACCCCAAACCCTGAAACCCTAAACCCTATAAAGAATAATCCCTAAACCCTATAAGCCCCAAACCCTAAACCCTATAAACCCCAAACCCCAAACCCCAAACCCTCCAGTGGAGAGATGTGCAGGCCGCGAGGAGCTAGCGACCGTGCTCGACACGCTGAACTGCACCGACGCCCCCGCCGACTCGCCCGCTTGGCAGCTCTTCTGGGACCAGTACCCCATCAGCATCTCCTCGGCCATGGGGGTAACGAACCAAACCCAGAAGGACGGCCTCCGCGCCTTTGCGGAGGCCATGAAGAGTGCGGGCTGCGCGTCCTTGGCTGGCCCGGACGAGTACGAGGAGCTGACGCAGATCAGGTTCTGTGATGGCCACGCGACACTTTGGTCGCCGCTGAGCGTGCTGTGCCCGAAGACCTGTTGCAACGACGCCGATTCGACGTATTGCCCCAGCAGCTGCGCATGTGTGGACAAAGATGAGGACCGCTACACTGCAAACAAAGGGCAGCAGATGTAAGGCCTTAGTCCCTTAGGCCCCATAGGCCCCTAGACGCACACCACGCATCCTGTATGCCTCTCTAATTCCGAGAAGGCACCCCCCCCCAATTTCCGAGAAGCGCCCCCAAATCGAACCCTGGACGTGGAGCAGCCTGGGAGGTGCTTGTGGCCAGCCTTCCCCCCATGGCAGGGATCACGAGCTGCCGCGAGGCCGCACTGGCAGACCTCTGCAATCACACGGACGTGGCAAGGCGGGGGGGGGGCTTACGAAAATTCGGGTCAACACCCCTCAAATCGACCTCCAACGAGGAGGATTCCCTTGTCCCAAGAAGGTTCCCCTAACTTCGGAGAAACCCCCGAAGGCTCTGTCTTGAGAGCTGTCCGTGCAACAGGGAGAAGGCCTGAGAGAGCTAATGAACCAAATCGCTTCGAACTGCCTGGTTCTTGTGTGTTGATGTCGGAATCTCTTGTATCCTTGGGATTCCAAAGCACGTTGCCCTCACGAAGTGACGTCACGTTGCTAGACGCGCACGCAAGTTTCGCTTCTCGGTGGAGAGTTCGAAAAGAATTGGCCTCACATGAGGATGCCATGATGGAGTCTGGCCGGTAAATCGTGGCTTTGCACAGGAAATGGGCTGAGGACGGACCGGCTTCCTAGCAAAGTGAAGGTAGCATGTCTCAGCCAGTTCGGTGGGGTGCTTGGGTCAGGGAGGTAGGGCAGGCATAGACAAGCCAAAGCCGTTGTAGGATCAGATTTCGTAAAGCGCAGGCAGCTGCCAGTTGTGCTTCACGCAGCTTTGTGCAATCCGTTGCTCGATGAAAGCGCGGAAGGGGCTGTTGCATTATGGCAGCTGCGAGCGTTGGTCGTACCATGTGTGCTGATTCTCGTAGCCCTCATTGCCATGAGCTTCCGACATATGTATTAATTAGGATAGGCCGCATTGATAAATCCCACACAAACAGAATCCAGATCCTTGCGCTTTGCTGCCAAGATTTGCTACTTCCGAAGCGCATTGCTGGGACACATTGAAGGTAGAGCCTCGTGCGATGGCGCCATCGCCGGATGCGGAAAATGAGCAAGGACCCGTGCAGCCCACATCTCAGCCATTCGCAGACCGCGCAGCTGCTTCTGGGCTTTGGGATGTTCCCCCCCTATACTCACAGTCCTTAATAAAGATCACAGTGCCCCCCTACTATAATCCCTCGTAAGGACTGTTTGTATCAAGGGGGAACATCCCAAAGCGAGGCTGCAGATAATCGTCGAAGTGCCCGAGAATGTCCGGCCCGGGGTTACGAAGCCGGGGCCATGGCTTGGACGATGCATGAACCCCCTCCCCCCTAATCTCAACCCCCCCCCCCCCTACCCCTAATATGAAAAGAAGAAACCAAAAAAATAAATATATGTAGATATATATATATATATATATATATATATACAACTTCAGCTTGGTGTGGGTGAGCAGACGGCTTGCCAATAGTTCGTTTTGGTGAGTCTGTGCCACCGAATGCAGCATTTCGAGGCTGCTGCAAAGTGGGTAGGTCTTGGAGCTCGTTCTGATTTTGCTTCCGGCCAGGGCAGTCAAGTGCTCCAAGGCTCACAGTCAGTAAAGGCACTTGGAAGGTTGGGCAGAGACTCGTGATGGTGTCACATCTCAGATGCTTTGTGCTGCCCATTCCTGTGTACCGGAGCGGCGCGTCAATCTATATATATATATATATGTATATATGTATAGATGTACCTGCCACGTGTCCACGACGACCGTGCCGCGACTGAATGGAAAGGTTGGCGGTGGATGTGGACGAGGAGTCAGAGCTCCATGTCCTGGTTCCCACAGAGGCTGCTGCCTGGATCCTAGTAGTAGTAGTAGTAGTAGTAGTAGTAGTAGTAGTAGTAGTAGTAGTAGTAGTAGTAGTAGTAGTAGTAGTAGTAGTAGTAGTAGTAGTAGTACATCTCAGCCCTTGCCAGTGGCTTGAAGCGCGTGACTTCGCAGCCCAAGCCCAGGTGGGAGATCGCTTGCGACTGTCGAAGATGCCCGATGGTCCGTGGACATGCGTGGTTTTAAGGACATGCTTTCGTGCACGTGTCGTGTATCGCTGCTCACATGCGCACCCTTTGGATGCTCCAGGAAACAGCCTCTGCACGATGTGGCAAATAGGATGGCCGAGCAACCAGGCAGGCAGCACAGTCCTGCTTCTGCTTCCAAGAGACCTGCCCCCAACCAAAACACCTTCCACCCTGAGCCATGCACCCTCAACCCTCTATCCTACTTGGAGGTTCATGGGTACTTACAAGTAAGGCTACAAGTAGGGGAACTCCGGTTATTACCTTACATTTAGGGCCCTTATAACCCTGCTTAGAAGTACCCGCAACCCTGTATCCTAAACCTTGAACGAACTGTATAAATCCCAAACCCTAAACCCTAACCCCTGAACCCCAAACCCCAAACCCGAAACCCTAAACCCTAAACCCTAAACCCCTTGAAGCCTTGCGCCAGGTGAGGACGTGAACAAGTTGCAGCTCCTGGTGCCTGCTGCGGTCAAGCTGCAGCCCCACGACAGGGGCCTCACATAACTACCGATAGGTTTAGGGTTTAGGGTTTAGGGTTTAGAGTTTAGGGTTTAGGGTTTAGCGAGAACCAGCGCCAGGATTTAGGGTTAAGGGTTCAGGGTTTAGGGTTTAGGGAAGCTTGAGGGCCTCGGAGGTTTTGCTGGGTGGTGTGTGTAGGCCTTGAGGCGCCATGGCTTTTTTTTTCGCGCGTGATTTTAGGGGACATGGGAGCTTCAGCTTACCCCTCCCTCGACCTCTCTCTCTCTCTCTCTATGTATTCTGTATATAGACCTAAATACGCACCCTCTCCATCCTTTTCAGACTGACGTTTCCAATACATACATATATATATATATACATACTAAGCGTAGTCATAAGAGTATGAATGTGACGATCAGGACTAAGAAAGAACACCATGGCGTCGACACTGCCCGGGAAGAACATCCTTGAAACCGTAAAGAAGCCCCCACATTCGGGAACACCCCAAAAAAAGCCCTAAGCCCTAACCTAGAGGTTCGGGTTGGGGGCTTTTTCGGGTTTAGGGTTTGGGGTTTATTTTTTGGGTTTAGGGTTTGGGGTTTAGGTCAATCGCTGCTAAGCCCGAAGCGAGCCCGAAGCCCTAAACCCCTAAACCCTAAACCCTAAACCCTAAGCCGTAAGCCCTAAGCCCGAAGCCCGAAACCCTAAACCCTAAACCCTAAAAACCTAAACCCTACACCCTAAACGCGGTCCAGGCCCGGCCTCACGAAGCTGCAGGTGACCATCTCCCCGGATGAGCAGGTGTGACAAGGGGGGTTTAGGGTTTAGGGTTTGGGGTTTAGGGTTTAGGGTTCGGGTTTAGGGTTTAGGGTTTAGGGTTTAGAGTTTAGGGTTTAGGGTTTAGGGCTGAGGGTTGCAGGTTGAAGGCTTAGGGCTGAGGGCTTCATGGTCGATGTTCGGGCCGTAGGGTCTCATAAGGGTTTGGATGGATATCGACTATGGGCTCATGGCCTGGTTCAGGTGAAGGGTTTAGGGGTTTAGGGTTCAGGGTTCAGGGTTTAGGGGTTTAGGGTTTAGGGTTTAGGGTTTAGGGTTTAGGCTTCGGCTCTGAGAGTGGCCCAGAAAGCGAGGCATCTTGCAACGCCATTTCCCCTGGGGGGGTTAGCGCGAAGGGTTTTGGCATCCCATCCTAAACCCTAAACCCTAAACCCCAAACCCCAAACCCTAAACCCTAAACCCTGAACCCTGAACCCTGAACCCTGAACCCTAAACCCTAGCCCTAAACCCTACACCCTCAACCCTAAACTCCAAACCCTAATCCCAGAACCCTAAACCCTAAACCCTAAACCCTAAACCCTAAACCCTAAACCCTAAACCCTAAACCCTAAACCCTAAACAAGTGACCCCACCTGGACTCAGCTCCTTGCAAGCCCCCTCCTGCAGATACAGCTGGCCGTCCCAGAGTACGCAAGGAGCGCCGGGCAAGGATGATCTGATAGGGTACTTGTTGGGTTCAGGCTTGCAAGTTTGGCCCTAAAACCCTAAACCCTAAACCCTAAACCCTCAACCCTAAACCCTAAACCCCAAACCTTGAAGTTTGGGGGGGCTTCTTTCAGGTTTGAGGGTGGCCTCGCACCTCGCAGCTTTGTGTTCTGTCTAAGGGGGCACTGTAGACCTGACAATGCCAGCCTTGAGTTGCAAAACCTCTGTGGCAGCATCCAGCACGAAGAAGGAGGGTTTAGGGGTTTCGGGCTTAGGTTTAGGCTTCAGCGAACACTTTAGGTGGGTAGTCGGCCGATTGCTCCTGCCTCCTGGCGGCGGGGATTGGAGGGGGGCCAACGCCCGAAACACCAAATCCTAAACCCCCAAAACCTCATGAAAACCTCCACCAAAAACCCCAAACTTTTAAGCCGCCGCCCTGAAGCCCCCAAACCCCCACAAAGCCCAAAACTCTCAAGCCCCTTAAATCCCCACCCCTCCCCCCTTCCCCAAAACAAAAAAAGAAACCCGAAAAAGATGCAAAACCACCAAAAAACCCCAAAACCCAACAAAACCCAAAAGCCCAAACAAAAGCCCAAAATCGCCCTCCAAAAGCCCGCCCAGTCCTGGCGATCTCATTGAGCTTGAGAGGGCTGGTGGGGAGGAAGCCTGGCAGCCGGGGGCCCTTTTAGGGTTTAGGGTTGAGGTTTTTGGGTTTAGGGTTTAGGGCTTAGGCTCTTGCTTCTTGCTGGGACCTTGGTGTTGAGGGGTTTCACGTTCCTGTGTTTCAAGAATGATTTTTGAAGGCAGTTTGGGGGGGGGCTGCTAGACTTTGCCCAGAAAGTGAGATTGTCCGCGTTCGCACTTGAGCTCCCCCCACTGTCTACAAGAGGGTTTAGGGTTTAGGGTTTAGGGTTTAGGGTTTAGGGTTTAGCCCCAAGTGCAAACCCACCTGAGCCCGATTCCCCAAATTCCCGTGAAGAGTACGCCCCGAGGGCGAAGTTTACCCGTGATCAGTACATGAATGCGGAGGACAGCTGAGCTGTTTCGGTCTGACTCCAAAGGGTTCCGGGCTGGGCGTTTTTTTTTTGGCCAACACAACGACCGGAACCCAAAAATCGGTCCTGATCGAGGCGTAGCACCTAGCACTCCTCACGCGCATCAGGAGAATCACGCGATTTGCGCGACCACGGAAAGCCCTGCGATCTCGCCGATGCTTCATCCGGGTCTTCCATGTCGGCAAGCAGTATCGATGCGGATGCAGAAGCGGGATGTTGCGTTGCAATCTTGGTGTTGGGCGTGCTCACCAGCAACTCCTTTTCGGCAGACGGCGAAAGCAGAAATGCATCCCATTTTTGGCGATCGGAATATCTCACGTTGGTGCAGCCATGCTCCTACCAGAACTTGGACTTTCAGGGCCTCCTTTCCCGTTCCCCCTGGCGACTCGCCCACAGTTCGCCCGCAGTTCGCACGCAGTTCGCCCTCCCAGCGATCACCGGGCCATCCCGCCGAGGCGTGCGTGCCACATCTGGCACCAGCCGCATTTTTGCCATTTCGATGACGTTTTTTGCGCGGCCTGTCTGCCATGATTGTTCGCTGACGACTATGGAGCTGCGCAGAGCAGGAATCGTTGCTAGTGTCGCGGCAGACATGCGACGACGTCTGCCATCACTGCGAAAACGTGTCCGAATTTCTATAGGGGGTTTCCGAAAATAGGGGCTTATCATAGACCCCCAAATGGCAGGATTCCCTTGTAATAAGGGCCCCAATAAGGTACCTCTAATTTCGGAAACCCCCATATCTGGCCGCGTGCGAAAGCCTTTGGGGCATACGCAACGAGGCGCATTCTGGAACCACACCAACACATGGGGCAAGACTCATCCCAACAGAGCTTAAAAACTGTGGGCAGTCGCAATTGCCGCGGAGTGAGATGCACGAACGGGATAAGGAAATATACAGGTTGCAAGGCTTCGTTGGACGCCGTCCAAAGGCACCGAAAAAGAGTTGCCTTTTTGTTGTCGTTGAAATTTCAACTCGCCGGAAAAGGGCTCCCGACCAAATTTGCTCGTGGGAGTCGTCATGTGTGAGTGAGGCAAACAAGCCTTGATGGAAACGGCGGTTTTCGGTCCAGGCGAGAGGTGCGTGGAGATTGCAGGCATTCTGGATACCTGAAAGCCAAAAAAGCAGACACCCGCTGCAGATGGCCGACGGGTAACGTGCATGTCGGAAGTCCAAGCGGTGCCCTGCGGAGTTTCTTGTCCACATGGTCGGGTTTCACATACGGATAGCGACCGCGGGTCGGGGAAAAGGGGAAAAGCCGACCCACAAGGCCCGAAACTTTGCACCCGCAGCGTAAGTGATCTTGGGGGACATATTGAAGCTTTGTTTGCCTTGAGAGCGATTCAGGAGTTCGTTGAGCCTTACCGAGTGATGAAGCTCTGATTAACAATAACGAGGCTCGATGGGCCATCGGGCCGAGCAAAAATGGCGGCGCACTTGTTGTTTCTGTTCGCGTGCCTGTTTGTGGAGCATGTTCAACCGTATCTGTTAACAGTATGCGAATGCTGAGAATGGGCCGCGCGATGCTGGCAGCCGAATGTGACGGGATGCCGTGATCCCTTTCTTGCAGTCCTCTTGATTGATGGGGTGGGAGCATGCGACCATGTCAGCCGCCGAGCCATGCTGACCGCTCCCTGTGTACCTGGCTTTAATGTTTGCCATTCCGCCACTGGTTTGAGAATTTGCACATCTGCTTTGATGCTTCAAAAATATTTGGAATGCTGGCAGTGTGGCACCTCAATCCAAACCCCCGCGTGGCGGGCCTGCATTCAGTGGCGTTCCAAGCTCTGTGACCTTGACGCCGGGTGCCGCAGCGGTGCGCCGCAGCGGTGCGCCGCAGCGTGGCCGATTACGCGATCCGCACCTCCTCTTCCAGCGGCGCGTCTGAAATTGCGCCACGCTGCCAGAATCGTGAGCCCGTCTGCACAGTGGCTCGCGGTTGCGCTGTGCGCGCACGCACAGGTGCAGGTCAACGCGGGCAAGCGCGCCTTTGGAACGCTGCGCCACAGCTGTCCACTACGACGACACAGTCTGGGGCGGACCTGCAAGGCTTTCACCCTCCTGGGTGCCCCACACGTCTTGCTGACCCGTCTCCGGCGTCGCGTGCGTCGCTGCTCTCAAAGCCCGGGCAACACTCCGCACCGATCCATGAAGGCTTCGCAATCCCCAACGTGCAATTCCGGTGCCTCTACTCCGACGTCTGCGGATGCTGCTCCCGCCTAAATGCTTTCGGAAATCACTGGAGTGCGTGCGCCACATCGCGAATGTTTGCTCCCCGCGCGCCTTGCCACTCGAACGCGCCGTGGCATGAGGTGGGGCCCGCGTCGCCGGCAATATCCCGCAATGTCCGTTCTCGGACAGGCGTGCCACCAACGGCGAGGCCAGCCCGCTGTGGCCGCACGGCGGAGAGCAGGCGGTGCGCTTTGCGACCGGACGCGCAGCAGGTGGTGCGAGGCGGCCAGCCCGAGCTCCTGAGGTCCTCCGCTGCGCAGCGCTCGGGACACGGTGCCGTCTGTATCCGCGGCGCCCGCTGTGGACTGTGCGAGCGCGGAGACAAGGGTGGCATCGCAACACAACGCCCCTCATCCGCACACTGCATGCTCTCGCACAAATGGGCCTGCTTGCACAGCCACCTGTCCCAGCGGAACATGCCGTGCCACTTGGGTCGCCGCGCGCGCCCAATGCTCCAAATGACGCTCAACGCGCATACGCCCTTATAGCAACGCCAAGAGCCGCGAACAAAGACGGTGCCGCTCCGACTGGGTCCGACACGGCGAGCGACGTGGCGCCTTCCACGCCGCCGCTGGGCCCACCCGCGCGCGATCCGCAGGAGCCATGCGACGTGAGGAGTTGGGCGCGGAGACGCCGCCTGTGCCTGGGGATGTCACATCCGGATGTTGGCCTGCTGCACAAGCCTGCCAGGCCGAGGCATGGCAGTGCAGAGGCCCTCCCGAAAACCCTCGATTGCACGGCAGGAACTCTTGGCTGTACGTGGCTTTGCTGCGTGCGAGCGCGGGCGCGTTAGCTGCGCAGCCACAACACAGTGGGTTGCCCACCCCATGTGTGGTGACGCTGGGTTCGACTCGTGCGGGCACTGGCGAATGCGGCCCCATGCTCAGTGGATAGCTTTTCAAGCTATGCTGTACGCGCTCGCAGCCTTCGATGGGGATGATCCGGACGGGGTGGCGTTCGAGGCAGAGCCGTTGTGCAATGCGGGAGTGCCGTATTTCTCGGCAGCGCTGGCGTCTGTCTGCGACGGCACGGGCTGCACTATTGCACTCACCCAGGCAGCGCTGTCGGAGACCTTCCATCGCGCCCGAGCTCCTCCGTTTCGTGAAGCTTTTTTAAATATGGCTGTCCTTCCACGTACTGCTGGTGGGATGCGATATCACGCAAGGAGGGGGGTGCGAACAAGGCGACCCGCTAGCTCCGGCGCTGTTCGCCCTTCGCCAGCATGCCGATTTGTGCCAGGCCTCCTCCGCTTTCCATACCTCCGAACGGCTCCCCATACCTCCGAACGGCTCCTTGCGTTCCTCGATGACTTATACGTCCTAACCGCGGTCGCCGCACTCGCAGCGCTGCGCGCGTCCAGGCAACGGTCGACACCACTTTTGTCAGCCCCGTCGGCCGGGACGGCACCGCGCGGGCTGGCGCGGACCGCGCGCCGGGCAAAGCGGCGGCGGACGCAGCACGCCGGAAACGCCAAGCCACGTATCCGGAGCTGTTGGCCGCCCGTAGGTGTCGCCTGGTCGTGCTCGCGGTCGAGGTGGGCGGGCGCTTCGGCGCCGAAGTGGCCCGGATTTCCTCCGCCGTTTGGCCGACTCCAAAGCGCGGACTGCGAGCCACTGTGCCGCAGCCCGGCAGGCGGCTGTCACCGCTGGACAGGCATGCTGGCCGTCGCAGCGCAGCGGGCTCTCGCCCTGTCACTCCTGGAGCGGCCGCTGGACAGGGCAGATGAGTGTGACGGGGGCGGAGCCGCCGCTGGCTGACCTGTTGGCGCCACGTGTACCCAATGGCCGCGAGCCGCTTGCCGCTGCGCGCCTGAGGCGACGCCCGCGGCCGGTCCGTGGCAGCCCTAGCCGACTCGGGACAAACCGCTGCGAGGAAAACTGGAAAAAACATTTATTATCGCGTGAATGAACAAGTGAAGAACGGTGAGCAACAAGGCGTGCAAAAAAGTACAGGTGAATGCAAGAAACACCAAAAAAGAGCGTGGCTGGCTCTGCCATTGGCAGCGAACATCTGCGGTGGGGGCGCTCCGGGTTGCAGCCTCACGTGTGATGCGCTCGGAGACCACGCCGTCGCGTGCCCACGCACCGGGTTGATCGCACGCCGGGCGAAGCTCGTGGAGCATGCGTGGGTCGGCGTCGCCCGCGAAGTGGTGGGGCCAGAGGGACACGATGGGACACGTCGTCCCGCAGCAATGATCTCACGCACACGACTGCCCCGGGAGTGCCGCAGGATGATCGTCGTCGCGTCGACATGGTCCTCTACGGCGTCACCCCCTCGGGCTGTGCATTGTGCTGCGATGCGACGTTGGTATCCCCCCTGTCCCGCGACTGACAGCCTCGCTTGCCGCCGCCGAACGCTGCAAGCAGGCCACGTCCCCAGAGTTGCAAGAGGCCGGTCCGCAACGCCTCGTGGCCTGAAGGGCGAGAGTTAGTGCTCGTGCCGATGAGGCATCAGCATGAGCGTAGCGTGTGGCCCACCTTGCGAGCATGGCAGGGTTCGCTGCAAAGCCGGCAGCAGCACGCGATGGCGATAGTAGAGGTTTCGAGTTCGTAACTCCCGGACCTGCATCACGGGGCTGATGCGGCCGGGCGCCGGAAAAAAAAAAAGTGCTTCTTACCGAAAACTTCCAAGGATCCGATGCGTAGTTCTCTAACTTATTCCTGGTGTGCGAAAGGTACTGCACAAACAGCCCGTAAAAACTAAGCTATAAGTATAACAAATGGAATACCCATTTCGTAATGCGAAACCACGCCCGCGTGTACCCCGCGGTGCCCGCAGCATGATGGCGAGACCCAATATCTGCTGAGGTTGCTGTGGCAGGGACAGGGGCCCCCGACGGTCCGCGCTCGAGGGTCCCGGCCTACGTTGTCGCAGTACTTCGTGCCGTTACTGCTCCATGCCGCGGGTCTGCTGGAAGACTCCGCGGCCAAAGCGTGGGAGGGTGTCCCTTGGTTTCGGGCCGGCCGCGCGGCGCTGGCACAACCACTACCCGTTTCCGTGACGCAACTCCTGTCTGCCATCGAACAACAGACGCGCGCGGGCGCGGCTCCGACCCCGGATGCAACCCTGCGTAGCCTGCGGGGCGTTGCGCCGCCAGCGGGCGGGGTCATGCTGCCCGTGGCAGTCGCGGCGCTGGTGCAGGAGAACCACTACCTCACAGCCAGCTCGCAGGAAGCGCCGCTCATGTGCTACACGGGGGAGGCCGCGGGCGCAGCTGCGCTAACAGCGCCCCCCATCCCCGTCGCCGACAATACCACACCAGCGGGTTGCAGCGTCGACGCGCAGGTTGCGCAAGTTGCCGGGATGGCTGCTCGCGCCCGCGGCCGTGGGCGGCGCGGGCGTGGGGGTCGCGGCCGCGGGCGACGGGGCGTGCAGGGCGTGAGACCGCCCGCGGCTACACAGCTCGACACGGACAGCGACCAAGATGCCAGATGATGCCAGCGGGGTGACGCGGCCAAGCGCGGGCTTCACCGGCCGGATTGCCCTCCGCCTGCGCAGCGTTGATTTGGCCGCCGAACTCGGCAACCGGGTTTACACGTCCCAGTCACCGCCACGCCAACTGCGTGGCCTCTTGCGGAACGCCATGCGAGTCGCGCTGGAGGCGATCCTGGACGCCCCACGGATACGGAGTTGGATGGCTGGAAATTGTGTGTTTTGGCTCCACGGATGCTGCTCTTCCGGGCGCCCGGCGCAGCCCGGGTCCCTGGGCTGAATTGGCGCGCCGGGAGCGCTTCTTCTGCGAGGGAAAATGAGTCCAACTGCTCCTCGAAGGGGCGGCCGCAGCTCGGGGGTCCACAGAGGCGTCCGCGGCTGACAGAGCGGCTGCCCGTGGGCGAGCTCTCCGCCGCTGCCCTGCTTCAGATATCAAAATTTGACAGAGGAGGTGAAGTTCATTTACAAAGATTTCATTGATTTGGCTGATATCAAAGACAAAAAAAAGTATTTGATGCAGGCCTTAACAGCCTTAATAGCTTCCCCGTTGGCACCCGCCACGTCTGAAACGCTGGCCGCGCTGCGGGACCCGGACCCGCCACTGGATCCGCGTTCCTCGCCCGTCATCGCGATTTGCCCTCGGCGGCTGCTGGTCAATCTCCGCCGAGCACGTCGGGGGGCAGCGGCGGGGCCGTCGGGCTGTACAATTGAGCACCTGCGGGTCCTGCTGGACGAGGAGTTGAGTACCCAGCTCATCCCAGCTCCTCGGCCGCGTCGCTGGCAGACTCGCCGTCGCTGACGTGCAAGGAGAGATCGCGGGCGCACTCAGACTCGGCCGGATGGTTGCGCTGACTAAGCCGGCGGGCGGAGTGCGGGCGCTCGTGATTGGGGATGTCCTTCGCCGGCTCGTGGCACGCACGCTGGCACAGCAGTTCGGGGAGCAGTTTCGGCAGGCGTGCGCGCCGTTTCAGTACGCGCTCAGCACGCGCGCTGGCTCGGAGGCGCTGGTCCGGGCGTTGCGGGCCGCAACGGAAGCCGACCCTCGAACAACGATACTGAGCATAGATGGCGTGGGTGCGTACGACCACATCTCCCGTGCCAGCATGCTGCGGGCCCTGAGCTCCCACGAATCGCTGGCCGGCCTGTTGCCGTTCGCACACCTCTTCTACGGGCAGTCCAGCCGCTATATCTATGACGATGAGCGGGGGGAGGGGCATGAGGTGTTGCAAGGCGAGGGCGGGGAACAAGGCGATCCACTGATGCCGGGGCTATATGCGCTCGGCCAACATGCGGCCCTTCTCCACCTCCACTCTCAGTTGCGGCCAGATGAACGCCTCTATGCTTTTCTGGATGACGTCTACGTCACGTCCACGCCGGAGAGGACCCTCCCCGCCCTGCGGTCAGCGCAAGAGGCTCTGTCCCAACACGCCAACGTCCAAGTCCACCTCGGCAAGACGCGGGCGTGGAACGCCGCTGGCGAGGAGCCTCCGGGCCTCGTCGCGGCCCTGCCCCGCCCCTGCTCTGCGCGGCGCCTCGGTGTAACTACCTGCTGCGCACGGTGCCGCCGAGCGCAACAGCGTCGTACGCGGCGTCGCACGACGAAGCGATACTGCGTTGCCTGGCGACCTTGCTGTCGGGAGGGGACGTACCGCTGGACCTCCCGCCTGAGAGCGAGCGGCGAGCCCACTTGCCGCTGCGCATGGGTGGCCTTGGCTTGTCACCGGCTAGGGAGCACAGGCATGCGGCGTATTGGGCCTCGTGGGCAGACACCGTCACCGCGCTGCAGGCGTGCCACCCCGGCACGCTCGCCGCACTCATGCGGCCCTTGTTGAATGTCGCAGCAGCGGGTGTGCCCCTGAGGCAGAGCAGGCCGCGCAATCCCTACGATCGCAGGGGTGCCAGGCGCCAGCTTAACCAGCGCTGTTGGAGGGCACGGCGCCCCCCAACCTCGGAGAAGATGCCGGGCTTTCCGCCCCCACGAGGCGGGGATGGCAGCAAAGTGCCGGAGCTGCTGTGGACAAGCGCGCGTTCGAGATGTTTTTCTTTGACTTGGATGTTGCATCCGGGCGCTGCTTTCTGTCCCAAAGCGGCGAAGGAGCCAGCTGCGCGATCACCGCCATCCCGAGCTGCCAGGACTTCGTCGTCGACAGTGGGGAGTTCCGCATCTTCCTGCTTCGGCGGTTGCGACTGGCGTTGCCGCTCGCCCCACACCGCTGCGGGGACCACCGTTCCGGCCTGCGCACAGGTTGGGGTGCTCGCGCATAGAGTGGGACCACTGGAGCGGGCTGCTGCTCGCATCTGCCGCCCGGTTGGGCCACCAGCGTCGCTCTGCGGGACCTCAACCTTGACGTGCCGGCGACGGACGGCCGGAGGATCGAGGTGGTGGCCAACGGCCTGCCTTTGTGGCAGGGGGCGCAGATCGCGGTTAATACCACCCTTGGTCTGCCCCGTCCGATGCGACGGGCAGGCGCGACCGGGCGAGGATGTGCGGCCGGGCCTCGCTTTGGAGCAGGCGGCCCAGCGCGGACGGGGCCGCTGCCGCCTCGTCGTGTTCGGCCTTGAGGTCGGGGGCCGCTTCAGCAGCGGGACGCTGGCGTTCATTCGCCGCCTCGCGCGGGTCCGCAGACGCACGCGGGCCTCGTGGGCTCAAATTGCCGCGGCGCGGGCACTGACACGGCGGTGGACTGCCCTTGCAGCGCTCGCTGCCATGCGGGCCCACGCGCAGTCCCTGCTGGAGCTGCCGGTCTGTTCGCGAGACGCCGGTAATGGCGCAGAGATCCCGTTGGGGGACTTGCTAGATGAGCGGCCGTGAAGGACCGAGAGCTCTCACGTGCAGGTGAAAAAAGGTGCGAAAAAATATTTGCATTTTTCGTCATACTTGGCATTCATCCGGCAACCGCGTGCTCGACAGCAAGGTCAAAGCAACTGGCAGATTAGTCAACACCATTGATGGTGTTTCGCGAAGCAGCTCGTGCCCTTCATGTTGTTCCCCACCCTCGGTGTGGGGTTGTTAGATTTCAAACTCACCTCTTCTCCTCGCCCGGAAGTCTTCTCCTCACCTGGAACTCTTCTCCTCGCCCGGTCTACTCCTCACTCATCCCTAGAGTGCCCAACCCCAAAGTGTCCCTGGAGTGCCCAACTCTACAGTGTCCCTGGAGCGCCCAACCCGAGCGTCTCCCTGGAGTGCCCAACCGCAGAGTCTCCCGGAGTGCCCAGACTCTCCCTGGCGTGCCCAAACTAGAGTGTTCCCGCAGAGTCTCCCGGGAGTGCCCAAATGCAGATTGTCCCCGGAGTGCCCAGCCCCAAAGTCTCTACAAAGAGAGGGTGGGGATGTTCGAAGTAAACTATTGTTTTTTGTTTTTTTTTGTGTTTGTTCATTGTGTTCCTGTTCTTCTTGATGATGCAACATGTTTGTTTTGTTGTTTGTTTGCCTTTCTGTGTTCATACTTGTTTGTGTGCTCACACTCTTGATGCGGATGTGTGGTCGAGTTCATGGGGTCCGCACACAATGATATTTGGAGGATCCCAAGAAGAATCTGGCAGTCATGGCAGATCTGGGCAAGGCTGCGCGCGCGGCCCCTAGACGAACTGCTCGTGCTTACGGAGTTTGGTCGTGCTAGCAAGGAGACGCGCAATTGGATGTGGAGGCGGCCATTTTAGGCCAACATCGTGACTGCAACGTGCGCATGTGTATGGCTTGCGGTGTGGCAGGAAGCGGTGGAGCGCCTTTTCAAAGTGGCCAAAGAAGCCGGCTGCTTCGTGGGGCGCTCAACGACCTATGCTGGGGATGAATGGTGGGAACATGGTGGGGACATGGTGCAGAGTCACGTCGCAGTTGACGCAGGTCAGCCCAAAGATCAAACGAGGAAGCGCTGGCCCCTAAGTCGTGACATGCTACATGCCTTGCACAAGCAGTCGAGGGCCGTGTTAGATCATGAGCCCATAAGGTCCCACCATTGTACATCCCTGGCCTGATCGCTGCCGAAGACATAGAGGAGGGCGAGGAGCAGTTTTCGTTCAAGTTGAGGCTTTTTCTTGCTGTAGCGAGGGTGCAGCGCACCTTGCATGATATGGCTGATTGCGAAATCTCGGGAATTCGAGTTGGCGGGTTGGTTTCCAGAACATTGCCGTTACGATATGAGTAAGCGCTTAAACCCCCAGGCATTCAAGCAAGTAAGGGGTGGACACGAAAGACCAAAACGCTGTAAAGCGGGGAACACCTGAAAAGCGACACCCCTAAGTTAAAAAACCGTTGGGTGGGCTATAGCCTTGAAATTTTCCCAAAGCGACACCTGCACAAATCAAGCGTGGACAGCCGACGCTAAACCTTGTGACAAGCCACACCCCTCATGTTGCGTACAGTAGCACATAGTAGCACCGCCAGCCGGTCATGGCAGTCGCTCATATGTTAGAATTAGAATCTTGTGTGTTTTTATAGACATGGTGGCACATGTTCTCTACATAATGAATGCCGTGAATGAGGGCTTTTTTTGTTGTCGATGTGCAGTTTTGTCATGTGTTGAAGTGGACTATCGCATTTCCTGCCAGGCGTGGGTGTTCGGAGCAAAAATCCCAAACAAAAATCCAACGGCAAACGCCTTTCACTGTAGGAGCTTCTACGCATCCCAGCGCATTTGCATCTGACGCTTGAGCCTCGAAGCGGCTCTTGGGCTTAAGGGGCCCCCGAAATCATGGGTGGGGGAGCCCATGCAACACGCCAGTTTCCCACACTAAGAAGTTTGGCCTTCGCGGGTCGCGTTCTACCCGCGATGGCCACTTAGCTTAAGGCCCCCAGCAGTTGAAGAAGCCGCTCCGGGCCTTGCAGCGGTCGAAGCCCAAGAGAGAATTACTGGGCTGCGGAAACAAGGAGCCTCGCTGTGCAAAGATGGGGATGTAGTAGGGCTTTTTTTTTAAATCCGCTTCCTGGGCTGACCCAAGCATGGCCAAGCCACGGGACGTCGCGTGCCTGTTTCCAGGGGCTCGTTGCCAAGAGATTCTTGGGTGGGTTTAGGGGGAGTCCAAAAGGTCCCAGAACGGGGCATTGTGGTTTCGGATTGGCCCAGGTGCAAACGGTTTTTTTGGGGGCGAAAGGTTGACCAGATCTTGGCTGGCTTGTTTCAGGCGCCTTTCGGCCAGAGGTTGAGGCGAGTCTACGGTAACATAAGTTCTCCTCCACTTTCGTTTTTTCTCGACAAGTCTCGTAGTGTCTTGGTTTCGGATGCCGTCGAGCAACCAAGGTTGCCCGAAAGTGCAGCTCTCAAGACTGTTCGTTGTCGCTTTGTGTGACGAGCAACAGGGCACAGTGGGTGTGTGTGTATATATATATGTACATATAGATAGATAGATAGATAGATAGATAGATATATGTATATAAATAATTTATCTGTGCATCATCCTGGACGTCGGGCAGAGAGCGCAATCGTCGAGGTCGCCGATGCCAGACCATCGACGCTGCAGCCTGAAATGTTCTGCATGGTGGTTTCGTTTAGTGTTCAGGGTCTTGGGTTTAGGGTTTAGGGTTTGAAAAGCCAAGGTTTGGGGTTTAGGCTTAGCCGGTTGCGACATACAAGCCTGATGCAACAGGGATATATATAAGCCTGATGCAACAGGGTTCAGGGTACAACGGCATTTGGGATAGCACGTCGGAGAGGCCTCTCTTCATACTCTACAGTGTCTACAACGGTTGAATTCTGAGGGACGCTTGGTAGGCAAACCCTAAACCATCTAAACCCCAAACCCTACATCCATAAATTGTTCAAAAAACAACTCCTCGAAACTTTCCTCGAAACTCCCCGAAACATTCCCGGACCTGAACTCTTAGTCATTTCAGTAACCCTAACCCTAAACCCTAAACCCTACACCCTAAACCCTAAACCCTAAACCATATACAACTTCTTTCTGAACTTTGGCTCTAGTAATGGCTGACCTTTTCTCCCCGTAAACGCAATGCGAAACGGGTGGGAAAACCTAAACCCTAAACCCTAAACCCTAAACCCCAAACCCGAAACCCTAAACCCTAAACCCTAAACCCTAAACCCTAAACCAATATCCCAACGTTGCAGTGTTCAGGTTCCGAAGCGCTCCACTCCTTCTTTCTTGCACGGCTTCTTGCTGATTCCCAGGTTGGGTCGCACGCACTTTGAGCCTTCTTGGAGGCCCTAAACCCTAAATCCTTAAGCGGGTGGCAAAAACAATGCTAAACCCTGAGCCCTGAATCATGAACCCTGAACCCTAAACCCTAAACCCTAGACCCTAAACCCTAAACCTTAAACCCAATACCCTAAACAGCCCCCAGGGTTGGCGCTTCTGGCAGGAGAGGGCCTTGGCCAGACCTGCGGAGGACTGGGTTCCAGCACAGCGTGTTGACGTCATAAATGCGCTGTGCCTAGCTGCCTAGCATCTGGATGAAGCACCTCACCCACCTGGCTTTAGAGTTTAGGGTCTAGAGTTCAGGGTTCAGGGTTTAGGGTTCAGGGTTTAGGGCTTACCGCATGGGTGCGACGCGCAGCACACCTACTCGCAAGGTCATGTATGAGATTTTAAGGTTGTCGTGGGAGTCAAAAAAACTCAAGTGCACCAGGGCAACATAGATTCAGGCAGAGCCATCAAGGAATCCCGACGCGCACTCATCACAAATACAGCCAGAGTTCTGGCCCTTCAGCCCCCATGCAGATTGCACCCACATGTCAAAGAAGCAGTCAGAGAAATGTTGCTGCTGCTGCTGCTGCTGCTGCTGCTGCTGCTGCTCCTGCTGCTGCTGCTGCTGCTGCCGCCGCCGCTGCTGCTGCTGCTGCTGCTGCCGCTGCCGCTGCCGCTGCCTGTGTCGCCATCGCTGAAGTCTTTACTGTTTGCTGCAAAATGAAAGGGCATGCAGCGTGCACAATGCAATAAGCACAAGAAGTCTGGCTCGCTGGCGACACTTAGGTGGGCAAGTGCAGCCCTCATAGTTTGGCTCCAGGTTCAGTACCCGCATCGGACACAAAAGATCCGTGCTTGCACACTGCGCGTGGGGCTAGGACCCTGCGGCACCGAATTTGATGGGCCACGAGGCAACAGATGATGCGGAACCTTTCTGCAGCGCGCACTCCGTGTGGATCCGCGATTTGGCTCGTTCCATACCTCATGATGGGCATAACCCTGGCTGCCATCCGCACCGCGGCAAGACAGGAGTTGACGCGCGTTGACTTCCAGGGCAAGCGTACCGCGCATATGGAGCTGTGAGTAGCGGGGCATCATACTTGAGCAGCTAGGCATTCGCAGCCGCGCATTCCATCCAACAACTTGCTTTGCTGCAATTCTGCCTGGTGTAGTCGAAGCGACGTCCTCTCCATCACATTGGCACGGCAAAATGCCTTGGACAAAAAAGAAAGGGCAGCTTGGGCCTGACTCTTCATGCCACGCGCAGTGCGCACAGGTGCTATGCACGAGTTGGATTCAGGGAGGTCCTTCCATGTTCCGACCCAAGAGACACTTCCTTGAAGCCTAAACCCTAAACCCTAAACCCCAAACCCCAAACCCCAAACCCCAAACCCCAAACCCCAAACCCCAAACCCCAAACATCCCTAACCCCGAAACCCCAAACCCTAAACATCCCTAACATTCCCTAACCCCGAAACCCTAAACCCTAAACCCGAAACCCTTGCGGACGATTGTGCTTCGGCCGTCAGGGCAAGAGCATCCTTAGCAGCCACTGGACCGCCAGCGAGGCTCAGCGGAAGGCCCAACGGGTACCTAGCTGCTGAGGGAGTCGTTTCGGGTGGCTGGGTAAGGGAAGTACGGCCCCGTTTACCCCCCGCTAAGAACCAGCCAGATTTAGTTTCCGGCAGCGATTCGTGTGCCCGCTCGTAGGTGTGGGAAGCCTATGCGCCCTACACCCTAAACCCTAAACCGTAAGCCCGAAACCCTAAACCCTAAACCCTAAACTTATGCAGGTGTGGGAAGCCTATGCAGACACGCTGCTGAGCGAGGCCGGCTTTCCCTCCGCAACTAATAGCCATGTCGTCGTTGGGTGATGGTGGGTACTCATCATTCTACTTCTGTTACTGGCACCCGCCAGTGCTTCCGCTGATCCCACAGAAAAGTAACATGGTATGGGGGTACCTGGGTGGGGAGAACATCTGGGCTCAGGAGAAGCGGGCGTGTCGTCGCTCTGGACATTGGGTTCACATGGTCTCTCGCCGTTTGGGATCCTGCGCAGGCATACCTACTTCCTTTTCATTGTTATTATTCTTCGCGCTGTAGGGTCGGTTCATCGAATCTGTCGATCGAGGGGGGGTTCGCGGGGGTGGTGGCAGTAGATGCGCGCTCGTTGGTCGCAGTTTGCATGAGCGGATCTGGATCGATTGTGGTCTCCGCGAGCGCATGTGTGGCGGTGTCGCGGTGTGGGGTGTGTGTGGAGTGTGGAGTGTGGAGTGTGGTGTAGCTGGTGGAGGGAACGAGAGCTAGCCTGGATTGACGCAACATGTGGGTTAGACACACCGCACAGCAGCAGCAGCACCCCCACCACCCCCACCACCCCCACCACCCCCACCACCCCCGCCACCCTCGCCACCCCCACCACCCACCACCGCCACCGCCACCACCCCCACCACCACCACCGCCACTGCCACCGGCACCGCCACCGCCACACACCACACTCCACACTCCACACTCCACACTCCACACTCCACACTCCACCACACCCATCCACACTCATCCACATACCACCAAGACCGCTGCCACGGAGCGCCACTGCGCCCCTCAAGCTTCTATAACTATACATATACGTATACAACATATCTATATATCTATATATGTTTCAATATGTATTAGTGCTACCGATATTTTTTGTCGAAGCTCTGCGACTGAACGCCCAGGACTTTGCGTACCATCCTTTCAGACTCGCAGCTTTCAATCCCGCTGCCACGTGCCGAGCTCAGGACGGCCTTTCTGCGCAAAGTGTTTGCCCCTGAACCCTAAACCCTAAACCCTAAACCCTAAGCCCTAAACCCTAAACCCTAAACCCTAAAGAAGCATGTTGAGGCGGGAGGCCATGCGGCCCTCCCAGGAAGCGGAGTACTTCATTGACATGGCCCGGCACTTGGTGTTGGTGTCTTTGGTTTTCATCTTTTCCACGGTACTTGTTACGTAGGGGTGATTGGAGGCTTTTGTCTTTTTTACCAGTTTGGTCACCACCATGATCCCTAAGGAATTGCTGGAATTAGAATTTGCGCAAGGGTTTCAAGTCCAGTAAACAGAAGCAACAACTGTTGTCACATGAATGCGAAAGCTGTTGTACTGTGGCCGAAATTGTTCGTCCGGTACAAGGATGACCTACTGATCAAATGCATCATGCACGCGGCTTTTGCAGTTCGCGCATCCATCATTGTGCATCACGTCTGTGCTCGAAAGAGTGCCGGTTCTACCCACTTGTGTTGCCACAAAGATAAAGCCGAAAAAAGGAATGTCTTGCAAATGCCCGATTCCAACCAACGACTGTTGCACAGCTTCGGTTCGCATCAGTCTCCAACGAGCAGCGAATACATATCATTGCCTTGTGCAGTGGTTTAGGGTTTAGGGTTTAGGGTTTAGGGTTTAGGGTTTGCTGTGCCTGAACTCTTCAGCCTGTTGCGCTGAACACACGTTGCTTGCAGGCCACCGACCTCGTGATGCTACATGACAGCATGGTGCGGTCTTGCTGGCTGGGCTTGCTGCTGTGGAGTTTAGGGTTTAGGGTTAGGGTTTAGGGTTTAGGGTTTAGGGTTTGGGGTTTGGGGTTTAGGGTTTAGGGTTTAGGGTTAGTTGCACCCAGAGTTTCAACTCGTTCTTAGGGGTTTATCGGGGGGTTTTCCGAAGGGTTTTGCAATCTCGGCTCGGCTTCTGCGCAGCGGTTCCCTGCGCGGCAGGTGTGGCCATGAAGCGGGGATGCCTGAGGAGGTCGAGGCACGCGCACAGAGGCTTCCATGTGGTTTAGGGTTTATATAGGGTTTAGGGTTCAAGGTGTTGGGTTTATGGTTGAGCGAATTTAGGCTTCACGGCCCCTTCGAGAATTTTGATTCCCCCGTTCACGTATGTGGTTGCCTCCTAAACCCTAAACCCTAAACCCTACACCCTAAACCCTATATAAGCCCTAAACCCTGAACCCTAAACCCTAAACCCGTGGGCAGTGCTGGTGGCTAACAGCCCTAAACCCGAAGCTCCAAACTCTCTTTCTAAAATTCAGATGAAACCTTCGGTTTGATTAAATCTCCAGAGCCCCTTCTTGAATCGCGTGAAAGCGCAGGGTAAAGGGTTCCACCCATTTCCGCTCCGGGCGCCGGTTCTCGGCCCGAAGGTCCGGGGGTTTTCTGTCCAGCGTGCCAGGGTCCCTCCATCCGAATCGTCCCCCCCTTGCTCCCTGCGATCAGCGCTGTCCCTCCACGCCCCCTTTGACATACGCGATCATACGCGCAGTGTCCTAGTTCGTATACTGCCCAGGCCCGAGTTTGGGGGTGTCTGGATTCCGGCTCGCTCGTCACTCGTCCACCCCGAACTCTGTCACGGCTGCCTGGCATCCCTGGTCCAGGTTCGCGTATTGTGGTGGTTTATGGCGGGGCCGGCACCGGAGGGTGCGACATAACAGAAGATGCAGAAGCTGGTGTTCTGCGGCAAAAGCGAAGATTGGCTGGCTGTAAAGGCCCCGTGGAGCAGGCATTGCGTGGTGGGATGGAAGCTGTCAGTGCGAGTTGGTGACGCAGATGCCGGCTGCACAGTCCTGAGGCAGAAATGTTCCTCCGTGCTCGACTGTGCTCGTGTGGCCCTCGGCACTGATCGGTCAGCCAGTGTCTTGACTCTCTCCGTTCTCCCCGCTCTCACTCTCTTACTCGCGCTCGCTATCCCGCAATTGTCGAGGCAAACACGAGTGTTCCAAACGTGCCTGGCGCTTGAATGAGCTGATGGCATCTGCTTGGGACATGCTCGTGTTCTTGCTTTCTTTGGTAGGCAAGACGTGAGTGACCGAGCCGAACATGTCAAGATTCCCAGAATCCAAAAGCTCGCCATGACAGTCATGATGCACCTTCACTGAAAGGAGTCGTCATATGCACAGCGCATCTTGTCAGGCGTGGACACCACGCTGGTGCCAGTTGCGGATCTGCCTGGGTCTAGGGGCAACCTTCCTTGCAGTCAGAAATCGTGGATGCGGAGGATGTGAGTGCATCTGGTGGTCAAGAGGTTGCAATGGAGTGATGGATGTTGTTGGGGTCCGATTCCAGTTGCATTCTGCCGCCGACAGTGCGTAATGCCGCTTCACCCCCTTACAAAACCACCCCTGAGAGCCCTAAGCCCCGATGTCCTTGAGCCCCTCGAAGCCACTTGCAGGCTGAACCACTCTCCAACGCTGACGCCCGGTGTTTTGTGGGCCTGGGATCAGGAGGCCGAAGCCCCGGTGGCCATTTTCCTTCAACAGCCTGCACTTTGGGCAGTTTCCCGAAATTTTGTGGGGTGCCTTGTTGGGTCCTTATTTGTAAGGGATCCCTACGTCAACCCCCCCCCCCCCCATATTTGGGGGGTTTCCGGGCTGCGGGGCTGCAAGGCTTCAAGGCTTTAGGGCTTTAGGAAAACAGGCCCGTGACCGAAATCCGAAGGTGTGTTTGCATGACTCAGTTCATGACTTACACCGAGTGCTTGCTGTGTATGTTCTCCCGCAACAGTATCGTAAATGCAAAGGCGGCCAGTGGTGCTGTCACTTGGTAGTTTTTACGGCTGCCCCAATACCCCGGATGCAACGAGGGCATGCGTCTCGCTGGTCTCGGGTTCCAACTCCTCCTGAAACCTGCCAGCCTAGAGAGACTGGGTGTTCACCTCCTGACTGCACTAAAGTTCGGTGGTGCGCTCCCTCATGGGTGTCCGGGAAGTTGCACACATGTGTGGTTTTTGATGAAGATGTGCACATTGGCTTTGGACACACTACCGGACAGGTTGGTCGAGCAGCATGTTTGAGCTTTCCTTTTTTGTGGGTGAAGGGTTGGACAGCGGCCAAGGAGCATTCTGAAAGCAAATCAGGGTTTGCGCGCGCACATGCCGAGGCTCAGAGCATGATCATCACCGCGGTGAAAGCGGCCCTTGCGATGTGCAGGGCTTGCCCGTTGCTTCCTCCCTGCGGTTGATCTACAACCCCATTCGTATGCAGCTGCCCGGAGTCGCACACAAGTTGGTGGTTGAGGTTAGGGCCGTCTCATTTTGGAGTTTGGGCTGGGGCATTGCGGCTCTTAGATTCTCAGGAAGCAAGGGAGCAGACCCCCCCCCCCCCTGTCTCCCCATGTCCCCGCATGTCGCGGCCAGGCTCATCGCACCGGTGAGGAGCTTTTCACCACTTATGGGGCAAGGCCGCGCAAGAAGGGGGCGGGGCAGGATCTAGGGTTCAGGGTTGGAGCCTTTGAGGCTCCGGTGCTTGCAGCTTCTGCAGGTGTAAGGGCCGGTAGAAGTTCCCAGATGTTTTGGGGTGCCTTGGGTTGGTGTCTCTCCCTGCCATGGGCCCGCAACCGGCAAGTGACCTTAAAACAACCAATTGCAGGAACCTAGGCCCTAAGCCCCAAACCAAAAGAACCCTCAACCCTAAACCCTCAACCCTAAACCCTCAACCCTAAACCCTAAACCCTAAACCCCAAACCCTAAACCCTAAGCCCTAAGCCCTAAACCCTAAACCATCATCTCCCGAGTTTGCGCTTTCGTACCGATGGTCGCGGGCAGCCCTGGCCTCCCAGCCCGAAGAGCTTCAGAAGCCCTCACCGGGGTTTTCAGGGCGTTTCGGGTGTTCAGGGTTTTCAATTAGGGTGTTTAGGGTGGTTGCTCCGGGTGTTGAGGGTTTTTAGGGTCTTTAGGGTGTTTGGGGTATTTCGGGTGTCTAGGGTTTTAGGGTTTTCGGGGATTTTAGGCCACAAAAAAGGTTTGATGGCTACCTGCACTGAACGGGGAGCCACTCCAGTGCCCGTTTGGCTCACATGTTTGTGCGGGTAGTTGCCCAGCAGGGTGGACTTTAAGATTGCCAATTTCATCAGCGTGGATATCTTGGGCATAGTGCGTCAAACACACCCTCAAGCCTAAACTGAACCTGAACCCTCAGCTAAAGCAAAAACCCTCGACCCCTAAACCCCAAACCCCACACCCTAAACCCTAACCCTAAACCCTAAACCTTAAACCCTAAACCCATGTAGAGAGGCTAGACCCTAAACCCATGTAGAGAGGGAAAGGGGATCACGCCGGCTCCTCAGCTCCTCCTTGCCCTAAACCCTAAACCCTAAACCCTAAACCCTAAACCCTAAACCCTAAACCCTAAACCCTAAACCCTAGTGGTCTGATTTTTGCAGCCATGGCAAGCTCCAGCTCCACGCCCTGGGTGGTCGCTGCCCCAGCTTGGAGGTTGAGGGTGTGGGGTTTGGGGTTTAGGGTTTCGGGTTTAGGGTTTAGGGTTTCGGGTTTCGGGTTTCGGGTTTAGGTTGCTTGGGGTCAGGGTTCTGAGAATGATTCGGGCCTGGTGTAAGGGCAGTTTCGGGATTTTCGGGGCCTTGATGGTTTGAGGGTCTAGGATTTCGGGCCCCAGGCTCAGAGAGGTCTGAGGTCTGAGTCCACTGACCTTTGGCTCAGAAACCCCCTCCCCTAAACCCTAAACCCTTCCTTGGCGGCTAGGCAGGTGGCCCCAAACCCTAAACCCTATACGGGGGGCAACCGAAGGAGGACAGGGAACAAAACAGTCAACCCCAACAGAAGCCCTCAATACCCCTGGAACAACCAACAACCGAACAGCAAGACCCCAAACCAAGGGCACACTTTTTACGAAACCTTCGACCGCTTTGGTCATGGCTTGAGCCAACGATTACCGGGTTCATTGACCCTTGAACTTCCAATACCAACTCCTTTCTACAATACCAATTGCAGCTCCGCACTCCCCCTGTCCTAGGATTTCCTGGGACACATTGGAGGTGCAAATCTTTGGCCAAAAACCGCCATTTAGGCAGCAGCCAGCTGCTTGAAATGCACATTGTGGTTTAACGTCTTCCAGGACGAACCTTCAGCTCATTGGCTGAATCCTTTACCTTTGAGGATTTCTTCACCTCGCACTTGGAAAATTCACGTTCCAGCGGCTCGTTCCTCACCAAGGAACTCAGCATTCACCACCCAGCCATCCTTGAGGCAATGCTTACAAAGCGTCTTAGCTCTGAGCTGTGAATATCGCAGAACATCACAATCACTGCTTGCGTGCATACAGTTCCCACCCACTGTTGTATACAAAGTGGCACTCGCAGGAATAACCACCGCTTTCTTGACCCACAGCCATTTATACAGCCGTCGAAAGAGGCACCATGCCAGTTCCCAGAGTATAATTGCTGCCACCAAATATGCAACAAGGTCTGAATTGTTGACAACCATTTCAATACCTTGAGCCAGAACCATCACCGTAGACGTGTTGGCGACCTTGCACACCCCTTCTTCTGAGCAAAAGAATCCAGCAGTTGACACTTCTTCGCCACCAGTTGCCATCCCTTGCAGAGATGCAGCCACCATCATGACCGCCATTGCAAGCGAGGCTTTTTTCAAGTCAGTCCCTTGTACCAACAGTCGGAGACCCCAAAGTGCCTTTTGCTTTGCGTACACCTGTCCACTCATCAACTTAGTCAACAGGTCAGCGATCATATACTCACCGCGAAGATGCGCTATCACCATATAACCACGGTCCACCAGAGACCTGACACCGGCTGCTCGAATTCTCAGGTGTCTTGTCCTCCAGCTTCCAGCAGGATATTGAATGATCGAGCACGTTGAAACCGAATCTGTATACAGCACTTTTTGCAGCGATTCTTCACCTGTTCCAACCAAAGCGGCAATTATAGGGGTGCACGACTGAATCATCGTTGCTCCCTCTATGGACGCATGTAATTCAGCTTCAGCCGTACTCAAAGCCACCGTTGATTGTCTTTGTGTTGCCCACATCACAGGACAGTCACCCCACACCACCACCGCTCCTGAGTGGCTCTTTTCGTTTTCACCTGCTGCAAAGCTGGCATCCGCGTAGGACTCCACCACTTTAACGCCTCGTCCATAGCGCAGCACCTCATTTCTTTCTTTTTCGCATGTTGCGATTGCTCCGAACGTCAAGCCTAACGTTGGAGTTGCAGCAAGGTATCGAAAATCTTCCTCAGCCTTTTTAACCACAAATCGCGGCCTTCGGGATGTCCACAAAGACAACTGGCTCGTGCAGAACGCCAAATCAGGTCGAGTCTTGATTGCCACCCAGAGGAACTCCCCTACGGCACCTTGTGCCGCCCGCAAGGAAGGAATATCCACCTCCTCTTCTTCACCTGGAGTTTCTTTCACCATTGGCAGGTTACTTCCTTTTCCAGTTTCATCGATCTGATACCCTCGTCGGTTCAGCAAATCTCTCACAAAGTCCTCCTGGTTGAGAAAGAAGCTGCCATTTCGATACCAGATTTGGACACCCAAAAACTTCAGGAATCCATCACCACAGCCTGGACCACAGAACTCGGGTTCAGAAGTTTTCCACTCCTTCCTAATCTGTTCCAAGGCCTCCCGGAGCACTGTCATAGTCCCAGCCATCAAAAAATCATCCACGTAAAGACCCATTGTCCCTACCAACTTGCTTGCACCTTCCAACTTCTCTTGTGCCATAATAAGGAACAGGCTTGGGTCTGCATTGGACCTCTGAAAGCTCATTGCTTGTCCATCCTTTGACACCCAAGACATCCCTTGAAGACGTTGGTCTCGCCACTCCACCCATGCTGCAGGACTTTCGGCCAAACCATACAAGGCCTTCCTCACAATCCACCGCTCCTCTTTTGTGCAAAGACCCAATTTCACCGCCGCCCTTGGGGGCTGCACCACCACCAAACGCCCTTCTCTTTGCGCCCTATTCATCGGCGCCGTCAGAAAAGCTTTGGAAATGTCTAAGCCAGCGATGATCCACACCATATATGCTGCGTGCCTCACTTGACACCTGAATGTAGTTGAATCTAAACCTGGAGCGTACAGCGAGTGACGACTGAGTGACCTCGGCCCTTCATATTCTGTAGCTGCCGTTGACGAAATGAAGTTTCCACATGCACAGATACGGGCACGTCGCCTCCCTGTCCCTTGCTTCCGGGTAAACACCACCAGACTGGGAACGTACTCAATCACCGGTGCATTAGGCTCTTCCGCCAATTTGTCCAGCTTTTCTTGAGTTGTTGGTTCCACCACCTCCAACTCTTTCACCAAAGACGTCACCTCGTCTGACAATGATTCCCTCCACTTTTCCAGTTCTTGCATGGCTTCTTGTGTAGGGATTGTTTTTGTTTGCAGGAACTCAACCTCCTCTGCTGCCTCAAGCGCGGTATTTTCTTGTACCATTTGCTGAACTTGAGCTGCTTTGACCAAAAACTTCGATAGCTGTTCCTCAGCCCTTTTTGCTTTAACCAGCCATTCTCTAGTCTCTGATCCTTTTTCTTCACTCGACTCATTGGCCGATCCATGGAACTCGTCCAAGATGCAACATTCCTGTTCAGCAATTAGGCGTCGAATACTCAAATGCTCTTCTAGAGCCCATTGATGCGCTTCGAACACAGCGTAGTCGACTTCTTCTGCAAGGTCGTCCAGCGAGGTCTCTTTCAACGTCATTTTTAACCACTTCCTTTTTTCACCTTCTTCAGCCTGTGGTTCCGGAAGAGGAAACTTGCATTGGAGAAGATAGCACCTATCCTTGTAGCTCAAACGCTCCATAAAAACAGGTGTGTACCCTGTCAAGGATACCCTGTTTCCTTTCCAAGGCATAGGGCCATGCAGCTTTCTCGGAAAGAACGACATGAAGTTCCAGTGGATATCCACCAATTTTCCAGGTAGGACTTTCTTCCCATAAGATTGCTCCACCACTTCAGCTCCTTCCTCTAAAACCTTTTCATCCTCAACCCACAGCTGACCATCTTTATAGTCACCAAAGCCACACACATAATTGCAGCAATGTTTTTCATTGTGACTATCCCTATGCAATGACACCGGAGCATTGCACGAGATTTGAAGAGCAGAAAATTTGGCTTCAGGATTGTGGTGCCTCACGAATGATGCCAAATAACGACATAGCCATGGTCTTCGATGAGTCTCTTTTGTGATACCACACACTCCGCCATGAGTATAGTGGCCCAACACCAGAGCTCGCGTACTTGTACACCAATTGTTGATACCACCTCTTCGATTCACCCTCTTTGGGTATACAATCCCTTCCAAAAGCTCCTCACAGTCCACGTAATCATACATAGACCTTTCATACATTGACTTGGCTTTTTGCTCTTCTTTTTCCAACTGTGTTCCATCCTCAGCAGTCCCACTTTTGCAGACCAAATAAGCATTTTCATGAGGAGAACAGCAAGTCGGCCAATACTCATCACCAGGAACATTGTCCTCGACATCTGCATTTTCTTCCAGCTC